TTCAATCGCCTGATTATTCTACGATTCTACAAATCGGATCGCTTAGTATTTTTAACTATTGATTTCGTCGATTTTTCTTTTACCACCGTCGGTTACGTCCTTAACTTTATTACTCTCCGACGCTTTTTATATTTAATGCCATTACGCTAATGGTAAATTTACTCTTTCATTCACCGTTTCCTCACAAGATATTTATTTCATTCGTTTTCACCGATCGATATCGACGCGATTGCTGCGTAGCTATGGAAATCAGCTCGTGTATTTTCAAAGTAAATTCAAGTCAAAGTTTGACTTTGATCTTACGATCGTCTTATCAAGACTGGTTTCGAATCCTAAAATGAGTACTTATTAGGTTTAACGTACTCGCAAGTAGCAATAGATGATCTTTTTTTTCTTTCAATCTTTTTAAATTAAAATTTCAATCTTCTTAACATATTGTAGTCGTAACATTACGTTAAACGTAGAGTATTACGCACAATTTGTACTTATTAATCTCCAATTTAACGAATTCAAAATTTAGAGTTAAAAATTCCGTAGAATTATAAATTTCTCTTTCATAATTCGTGTAGCATAATTCGTATTCAATTCCACTTTTATCTACTAGTATTCACATCTAGTTTGAAGTAGGTATTTTGTTCTCTTAATTTCGCAAGTATCTATTCGTGGATCATTCGAAACTATCCTGCTTAGATTTGAGCAACTTGCAAGCACTCTTGAAAATACTTTATGAAGGCTTTGAACCCAATAACTGAAGTATCCAAGTTTGACAGATGTTCAATCTCTAGTATTCAAGTCTATTTGGCAGTATTGTTTCCTTTTTCTAGAAGTATTATCCTTTTTTAAAAGTAATAGACGAAACTATTGCCGCTTAGATTCAAATGAAAGTATCATTAGAAATAATTTAAAAAAACGTTCGAATATGTATTTATAAAATACTTGATTCCATCTTTATCCGCTAGTATTCAAGTTTGCTTAGAAGTATCGTTTCCATTTCTGGGAATACTTATGAAACATTAGAAACTATTCCGCTTAGATTTAAATACGCGTGAAAGTAGCATTGGAAATATTTTTATAAAAGATTCGAATCTACTCGTGAAATACTTGAGCCTATCTGTGTCCCACTAGTATTCAATTCTGTTTGGAAATATTGTCTCCATTCTTGGAAGTCACGAAATATTTATAAACTGTCCCTAAAGGATTCTCATTCACATTTTTAAAAGCACAAGAGTTGAAACATTTATAAATCAACCGTGAATGAAAATTCATGTTTTTACAAATATAATTGAAAAAGGCAGAACCGAAAAGATAGAACATCGTACTTAGTTAACATCACAACGAACGCGCTATACTTCGATATTTTATATATACTTGCAAGTTCCATGCAAATTAATTTCTAAATTCGACACGTTGAACGCCGTAATGTTAAAAAAAAAATTCAATCCCCGGCTACCTTCTTGTTTTTGTAATTTGCTGGAAGTAACATAAAATAATCATATATTAAGATCTTGTATCTATTTCATGCAACTAAGTAGATTTTTTCAGCGCAATATTTTTGAAGTAAACTTTTTATTCAACACTAGTACGTTTAAAATTTGGCCTAAATCAGATAAAAAAAAAAAAAAAATAGGTAACCTATAGTACCATATAGTTGAAATTCAACTGTATAAACCTGTTTACCAGGCCACGCATAAGTATTTCATTCAGACATGAATCACGCGACCATGAAGAAACAAATCTTTGTGCGAAGCATATGTGATTCACGCAGCGCGTTGAACAAATGTGATATGAGTCTTATTTCTCTACTCTCGCATTTGAACTTCCCCGTTGTTGTTGGTTCAATGTCGCGGAGGCGCAGTTCTGCCGAAGATCGACGCAATTAAACGATGCTCTAAGATGGACGGCACGCGCGCGCGTCTCTGTTATTCAAAACCCGTTTCTCCGGGCCGCCATCAATCACGGACGTGCCGCATTATCACGGCCTATTAACGGGCTGCATTTCAACGGGCGGACACACAATGCCACCGACGAAAGATGATATTGACACGCTAATTTCGAATCGACGACTGATTGTTGCCTCGCTCGCAGGCATTCAACGCCTGCCGCAGCAACGAGCGAGGCGCAGCTTTTCATTGTTGCGCGGAATTGCGCCGCGGCCTCTCCGTTTCAATTTACGCCCTCGAAATCGGCTCGGCCGTCCGTTTCTCCGCGGCCACCGAGCTCGAAATCCGCCGCCGATAAATCGCGTTTTCGAATTATTGTTTTCAACCGTTTATACGCCTGTCGTTACGCGCGCGGTAGCGAAACACAATGACCGCGAAATAACTTTCTCCAAATGGGATTCGCTCGTTTCGAGGTGTTTAAGATTTATTTGCAAATATCGGCAACGGATTGACTTTCATCTGTCTCTCACGGAGAGTAACTTTCTATGAAAAGGACTCTTTCAACTCGCGAGATTATAATTTTCCGCGACTATAATTTATCATACGTTTTACAAATCGGTTGGTTGCCTCAGGAAATAACATACTGCAGAAGGGGGACTTTCGATTCGAATAAAATTTATGCTCGAAATTTTCTTTTTTTTTTTTTTTGTCACGTAAATGTTCGCGCTCTTAATTAGAGAAAAATAACTCTGGATTTTCGATTCGCGAAGCTCATTACAATGCCGAAAATTTATTCATCACGTGTATCATAAATGTTAGTTTTCTCTTCGTTGCGGGAGGCAGCATTTGAAAGCAACGTGAAAGCGACTTTTCTATTCGACACGTTCGTTGAAATTTACTTATTATACATTTTGTAAATGTCGCACTTCCTTTTTGCAAAGAGAATAACATTCCACAAAAGGAACTTTCGATTCGCTAACTTCATTAAAATGTCTGTGATTTGTTTATTTTGACGTTTTAATAAACGTCACACACAGTCGGTTTTTATCCTCTCACAAAAAATAACTTTCTATGCCGAAAACAACTTCTCGATGCGACAAGTTCATTGAAACGTCTGAAATTTATTCATCGTACATTCTGCAAACGTCGCAGTTTGTCTCTTTTACAGAAAATAAATATATAACAATCGCTATTATACAGTTGATTGTAGCAAAATTTGATTGGTATAACATAACGATTAATATTATTATATTGTTATAATCAACAATATTAATCCGTCATTATAATTATATTTATATCATTATAATTATAATTATAATCACGACTTTTAAAAATAAGTGTTGACAATTTCTACAAAAGTTCAGGAAATTCACAAAATATCCAAAAATATATTTGTTGTACAATTTGTAAATGTCGCGGTTAATTTCCCCCTTTCTTCGAATATTTTCTACCGATCGTCGTTAGATACGAACGGACCTAGATGATTAATTGAAATTTCAATGCCGAGGCAATAATTAAAGTCCTGTTTTATAAAGCTCGTGATGGAAAACTGATTGCTCGCTCAGAGGGGGTTAAAGTCGAACGCACGAAACGATTCTGTCAGACTTCTTCCCGCGACATTGTTTTTCTTTCCTTCGTGATGAATTGCCTCTGAAATAACGGCGTAAGAATCGAGCGTCTATGATGAATATTAAATCGAAGTAGCAACAGTGAAGTTGATCCGAGTGACGTACACATATAATACCGAAATTTCTATTATAATCTCGAGAAAGGTGAAATGAGAAAGGTGAAGAGGAAAAAGAAGAAGAAGAACGGGGTCTGTTATTGTTCTCTTGCTAGAAAGACCATAGAAATCTCAGGTTTGATTTTCGTAAGGTCCTTTTATCGCACCCTTAGCTTCTGCGATACTCGAGGTAAACGATAATAGAAAGTTCATTCTCGATAGCAGCGATATTAATACCGGGTAATAGTAGAAGCAGTCCGATTCTTATCTGCCTAATGCAATTGCAGAGATTCGAGGCTAGATTTCGATTATCGCGATTACAGAGAGTGTTGGGCGTGGTACGACGGGCGGTCGACTTCTTTCGCTTAAATAATTTGAATAATTTTTAACTTCTCGTGGGCAGAGGGATAGATTTTCTTAGTATTGGGCTTTAGAAGAAGGCCCTTTAACTGCGGAGTTCAGTTTTAAAAATCCCTCACTGGCTGTGCAATTAAAATCAAGCGATGACCAGTATACGCACTGCAAAATGTTCTTGTTATAAATTTTACGAAAAAAGTAAAGCAAAAGGAGGAAGGTTTACATTTTTATTCAATAAAAAAACTAATAATTCAATGTTAAAATGGTTTTTGATAATAACTGAGAAAATAGGTAAATAATCCAGGCAAAACTTTTCTTGAATCTTGTATTACCTTCTCAACGAAACAGAAATTATACTAAGGGCCTTCATAATTCGCGCATCTCATTTGATTTAATATAAATTGTTATCGGAGCATGATACATTGTACGTAATACATATCTGATATACCAAAGAGAATTGTCAAACTTTTTATTATAAAATACTTAGCAGTTTTATTGGTAACATAAAGGAAACATACCACCAAATGACATTCTTATTACTTCTTATTGAAATTTGGAGTTTTTATAGTAAGTAGTAATTTTTTATTTTACACGACAAGTATACATGTCAACTGCACTGAAATAAAGTTTCGGATTGACGTGTATACACGTCGAACGCAATTAATTGGTTAAAGCCTTCCTAAAGTCCAACGTGTTATTCATTTCAAATAATACTGCGAACAAATTTCAATAGAATTTTGATAACAACATTGCAAAATTGTACTTATTATGGAATATCAGAATACAAGTTTAAACGATGGTTTTATATGACGGTGAATTTATTTAATTTCGTTCGCGATGCAGAATTTGCAATTGCAGATTTGAACTTTAAGCACATTTTAAAAAATTTAAAGAAATGAGATTTGAATTTCTAGACAGTTTAATGAAGGGGAGGATTTTGGGCCAAATTTTAGGCGCCAGTGTCTAAAACTTTCAAATTTATACGAATAATTGTATATATATTAGTTATATTTTGTTACGTTCGTAATCTAAACAGAAAATTAATTAAAGTGATCTTTTTATATCTGCATACAGATATCTTTAGTTATTTTTGCATTGTTCATCATCAGATATACATTGATCACATTTTTGTCGAAAATAAAAGAAAAAGAGAAATTCGATGTTCGAATGGACTTGAGAAAAAAAGAAAAAAAAAAAAAACAAAAACAGAAGAAAGGGAAGAGGAGGAGAAAGGAAGAGGGTGAAAGAGGGATTCGATTGAAGCGGAATCTCCTTTCTAGCGGTTACGAGGGGGGCGAAACGAGTCCCGATCCCCGATCTGTTTGTTACAGGAAAAAAATTCTTCGCGGTGACGTTCATCGGCTCGATCTGCTGGATCGCGGCGTATTCGTACCTGATGGTCTGGTGGGCGAATGTCGCCGGCGACACGATTCGCATCCCGCCGGAAGTGATGGGACTGACGTTCCTCGCCGCCGGTACCAGCATCCCAGACCTGATCACCAGCGTGATCGTCGCGCGAAAAGGATTCGGCGACATGGCCGTCTCGAGCTCCGTTGGCAGCAACATCTTCGACGTGACCGTTGGGTGAGCATTACATTTCCCATATCACGTATACAGTGGCTCGTGAAAGTATTCGAACATTCGTCACGGAGGAACTTTTATCGTTTGATGATATATATGTTGTATAAAATATTTTGGCACTTGATTAAGTGCCAAAAGCTGTAATGAGACACGAGTGTCGCGATAATATATTGGTAAAATTTCAAATATAAAAGAATATTAAAAGATTTGGAAACAGGTGTATACAAGTTGCATTTATTCATTAAAATATACTTAATAATTATTATTATAATTTTAATATCATTATTGTTGTCACTATTACTACGTATATAATAATAATAATTGTCATTTAATAAAACGTAGATTACATGAAAAATTAGCACACAGTGTAAATAACCATTTGACAAGCATGTAACGAATGTCGTGTGTAATTCTATCGAAAGCTTGTTAATATAATGGATCGTTTGAATAATTTTGCGATATCTGCAAAACTATATTTGTATATTGTAAAATCTATATTTGTATTAAATATATCATGTAATTTCTATATGTTCTGTTTTAGATTTGCTTCGAATTTATGATAATATCGAGCCGTATTACAGCGTTAATGAATTTTCAAAATGTGTTTTGTTGCACAATATGCGTAAAAACATTCGTAAAAAGTTTCTATAGATGTTCGAACACTGGCGTGAGAAACTGTACACCGGGGTCGAACATATTTCTTCTTTTGATTTATTTTCATGGGGATAGCTTACTAGCGTAGAAATGGTACTTACCATAGAACTGACACAGACAAGACCGAAATGTGTAATTCATCAGAGAGAATAGAATTTGTTCCTTTTGAACTGAATTAGGCTACAATTATATTCCGAATTTGTTGAATATTTCTGTGTTGTAGTAACCAGTAAGTTTAGACAAAATATGTGCCAATGGTGTAATGGCATGATTATTTCGTAATAAAATTGGTATTGATTGAGAACACGTATATCTAGTATGAAAAAATAAGATTAAATAATACAAAAAAACATTTAAATTTTATCATATTTATCCGTATTTCGCCTCATTGCGAAATACCTAATAAATTGAACTAATCAGAATGTTCTTTCGATGAATTTCATCCCAATTTTTTTCTTTTTGTAATTTCACCCATAGATCTTTTTTAAAAAGATAAAAATTTTAAATATTTGATCTTGGTATTGAAATTTAATTCGTCCCGTAACGATAGAATAATTCCTTCTTGATAGCAAATCTTTTAATTGGTATCAATTTTATTAAAAATCAATTACACTAGCTTTTTACTGAATTTACTAGATGAGAATATACAGTGGTAACAAAGTATCGGTACATCTAGTCTTTCGGCGATATCTTTATGAAAACAAATGACGTTAGCAAAGTCCATTTCCAGAAATACAAGTTCAAAATAATATGTACAGTAGCAATTTTCCAAAAATACAAGAGATATAAAAGTTTGAGGCTCAAAAAGGTACTGATTTGCGAGTCAAAAGTGTCATTTGTTCTCGCAGAGATACAAGGAGACTGTTTTGTCAATTCTTGAGATTCGTCAATTTTTGATCCATTGTAATTCAATCGTATAGGTAGTAAAAGTAACGTTGGCTCTAATAACGATAGCCAATGTGGGAGGAAGATGTGTTCAATGGACGACGCGTTTGTAGAAGATTCACCGAACGCAAAAAAATGATTCTTCAGTTCCTTCGCCACGATCCGCCAGGATAATTTATCGATATTTATTTTCTCTGCAGTCCGATGTAGGTCGTGTATGGATTTATATGACTCGGTTATAAACGGCCATCACGCTTGGCGTTATCGAGGACATCAGTTATGGCAATTTTCATGCGAGGCACACAATCTGCTACTGACAATAAACCTCCAGCAAGATTGTAACATACGCGCTACGAGACTATTTTTCCAAACGTCTCGGCGAAGGAGCCTCGATTTCGAGGCGTTTTCTTCTCTTTTTTTTTTTTTTTTTTTTTTTTTAAAGTTTCCGAAGAGAACAGTGTTTTCGGAGAAAAGCTATTTAACAGGACATTTTTGCTCGAAGTCGCCGATTCTTAAGCAATTTATTGGACAAAGAGTTACCGTAGTTTTAAAATCCTGCACACACTTTGGTCACGTTTCAAGACAATTAATTCAATATCTTTATTATTGTCTTTATTATCTTTCAATATTTTTATTATTGTCTTTATTACCTTTAGTTATCTTTATTATTATTTATAATGATATTTTCTGCAATATGTGTCACTTTTAATGAGGTTGTCACGCTTTATGTTATTGTATTTAGATATGAAGTAATCAAAGACGAATTTAATCCATGTAAAAGTGGTTATCTTCTGTCTACTATATTGAAGCAAACAACATTTTCCTTTTTTTTTTTAAGCAAAATTTCATTAAATTTACCACTCCTACGGAAGATTAAATGAGGCTTTGTTAATGTTGATGCAGTTTTAGTTCACGAGATAACCAATTTTATATAGATTAAATTCGTCTTTGATTTTTTTCTTTTTTTTTACACGAATACAACAGTGTATAGTTATCGTGGTAGTTATCGAAAGTGACGTGCTGCATACAATAATTTGAACAATTGCATAGAAATTACATAAATTACGTTGTCTTGAAGTAAGTTTTATAATAACCTAACAATAGTCTAAAAATCGGCAGCTTCGAATATGAAAATATTCTGACAAATAATACACTAACGCTATAACGATCGTCTACTTTCGGAGTAATTTTCATCAAAGATCGGCAAGTTCTATTCAGAAACCATATAATAACGATATTAAAGCACCATTCTCTAAATTTATCTTAAAATTTGTCATTATTTATGTCATCTTCTTAAGACGAATGAATTCATGGAAATGAGAACTGAAATTCACGTGATGAAATTAAAAAGGAACTAATGAAAAGTGGAGTTGATCAGTTGGAGCTTCCGATTTGCTCGACTATGAATTTGTAAAAAAAAAAAAAAAAAAAAA